ATGCAGGATTGCATGGAATACCCACAATAGAATAGTGTCAGAAATGTAATGTACTAAACATAGAACAGGCATTAAATGGTGCAGTGGATAAAGAGCTGGACCTGGAGTTAGGAGGATCTGTGTTAAAATCCAGCCTTAGACACTTAACTAGTTTTGTGACCCTGGGCAAGTCACTTAACCTTGTTTGCCTCAATTCCTCATATGTTAAATGATCTGGAGAAGGAAATGGCAAACATTCCAGTATCTTTGCCAAGATAACCCCAAATGGGGTCCTGGAGTGTCAGGCATAACTGAAAACAACTCAACAACAACAAACATAGACCGATTAGGAATAAATGATTGCCTACTTCCTTCTCCTGCTCTCCTTCCTGATTCTTTTTAAATCTCCATTAGAGGACTGGGAAGAGTCCACATCTTACCAAGTCTGGGACTTAGCCACTTTGTGTTGTTGTTTTTGTTTTTCAGGGCAGTGAATCCTTTATTCCTGTTATCTAGTTCCAGTTCTAAGTCTAGTTGGTAGTCTGGGATTCCTTAAGAAGAAATCTGTTTTATTATCTCCATTAACTATAGTGGGTGGGTTAGAGTTTCTCTGTCAGTCCTCAGAGTTAAGAGTAGTGTGCTTTCCAGTGAAGATAGCTGTTTAATCATCTTCTCCTTATCTATCGAAGATATCCTATCTCTTAGTCTTTCCTCAGCTGAGCCTGCTTGCTTACAGAGGGCTGAATCTCCACCCTCCTAAAAATGAATCCCTAAGCTCCTTATTTGTCTTTCCAGTGGGTTTCTGTGAAGGTTAACATCTCTATTTAGTAAGTTGCAATGAGGGAAATCCAGTAGCCATGTGAAATATTATTCTCTTGAGATTTAAATGGATATGATTATACATTTAAGGAAAAAAGCACAGCTGGATTGAAATCTTGATTTGTTTTTGTAGAATGCTTATGTGTGAAACCATGAAAATGCTTCTTTTATTTTCTTAATGTATAAGTGTGTGGGTGAAGTTGAGGAAATTTGTTGTATTTTTATCTGTGCCTGTTAACATACGACTAACTGAAATGAGAGAGCAGAATCTTTCTTACTTCAGCCTGAGCAACCTGGAAAACAAAGAACTGCCCCTTTCCCTAAAAAATATTTGTACTATCAGTGTCTCCTTGTATATATAGAGCTTTGTAAACATTAATTAAATTAGTTGTTGCTGATTTTAGGTGTAAATTTTAGCTTTTCCAGGAAGAAGATATTTCTAAATGTCTACATTTTAAAGCTCAATCTGAGCAATCCTTAATCTCCTAAACTAGGTCACTAAGGTAAAGAGTAGAAAACAGAAGAATTGGGGAGGAGGAAGGTTCTCTCTTCCCTATCTCTTCTGAGGTATTTATTGCTGCCTTGAAAAATAAACAAAAAGGAGTTCAAAATTATTGCATGAGATATTACCTGAACCATGAGAAATTAGCATCGTGTAAATCAAAGTCCTTGGGAGTCAGGTTTACAAAACATGTAAAGGTGTTATATATTTTCATGATGATTTTAGAACAGATTATTTCATTGAATGAAAGAGAAATCTTTAAAACTTTCAAAATTTTACTCAGATTTCTTTTCTCATACAGCTATAAGATTTGGAAGTAATAGAATATAGGAATTTCTCTACTTAGCTCTTATGTGATAAACAAATTTATTTCTGTATCATGTTTCCTCAGAATGAAAGTATTTCTGTTCAAAGTAGAACTGTAGATTGTTTTTAACTATGATAAGAGTTCTTGAAAGAGAAAGCAATAACCTCAGACTGCCCTCCCCACTTTACAAAACCTAGGTCATTTATGTGTGCTGCCTTCTCCTAATAGGAATGCAAGCTCCTTGAGGTTAAGATATTGTCTAAATTACTTTTCTTTTGAGTCACCTTGGGGGCAGCTAGGTGATGCAACAGATGGAGCTCTGGCCTGGGAGTCAGGAGGACCTGAATTCCAACCTGGCCTCCGACACTTGGCACTTATTAGTTGTGTGACCCTGGGCAAGTTACTTAACCCTGATTGCCTCACCAAAAAAAAAAAAAAAGAAAAGAAAAGAAAAAAAAAGGGATCACCTAGCACAGTACCTGGCACATAGTAAGTACTTAAGAAATTGTTTTTAATTCATTCATTCATTGCTTTGTTATGTTCAAGTGATTATTAGAAGCCATTAGCCCCTTTGATCACTTTCATTTTTTCTGAAACAAGTTAAAGTTTCCCTAATGTGACCAAGTTATATTTGTTAAATGGAAAAAAATTATATTATTCTTTGTATTCTTGAGATTCTGGGCCTGTATACCATATGACATTTCAAAAGTGTTTGAATAAGATTTTTTCTTGTAAAAATGTACAACTGTAAATGGACCTTCAGAAGTTTATGGCTCCACCCACAATGAGTGGTGATAAGGTAGAGTATGAAAGGCTGATGGAATCTTACAGGATTCCTGGGAGAATTTCCTGGAGCCTGGTGGAAAAGTCAGAGGAGTCCCAAAATAGTGTAGCCAGGTGCTACGAGAGATTTCTGGAGGAGAGGAGGACAGAGGAAAAGGGGGTAGAATATGTGTTTGGGCTTGAAATAAAGCTAAACACCACCACTATCACTCCTTCCTACTAGCAGAGGTTCCCAAAGTGACCCATACTGAGCAGTGGTGGGTGCTGGATTGATCCAGGAGGTGGTAGTAGCTTCAGGTGCAGGAATTGAATAAAAGTAAGGGGGAAGAAATATAAGGAAAGAAGAGAAGAAAATTTTGAAAAATTTTTAAAAAGATAAAAATTTTTAAATACATGTTTCATTGGTTGTGTAACAGAGTCAAAGTCATAGTGATTACATTATTTTCCAAATAAATACACAAAATGCAAGTTATAACCAATCAGTCAAGTCCACTGACAGGTCTCAACAAGCAAATGTTGGCAGGTAAGGATGTCGTGCATTGTCAGGGAATCCAGTATGCATCAGGAGGAATGTGTGTGTGTGTGTGTGTGTGTGTAATGATACATTTACAATACAATACTATAAGGTTACATGATATAATATTGTGTCATCAAAATTTCAATGCAGAAGGGGCAGATAGGTGTCGCAATGGAGTCAGGAGGACCTGAATTCAAATCCTGCCTCAGACACTTGACACTTACTAGCTGTATGATCCTGGGCAAGTGAAACCCAATTGTCTCACCAAAAAGCAAAAAAAAAAAATTCAATGCAAGGAAACAAAACAAATTCACAATAAGTTATTATATTTAAGATGCGTCATTTCAAATATATGTATTTTTTTAAATGACACAAATATTTTTTTAAATCATTAAAGGAAAAAAATAAATAAAAAATAAAAATCATTAAAGGGTTAAAGAAAGTCGATTTCCAGGTCGATTTTTTTTAAAAGGGGGTAGGAGACCAAATAAGTTTGGGAATCTCCGTACGAGAGCCTCAGACACTCAAACTACATAAATCGACTGGTAACTAGCAACCACATGGCAACTCTCTAACCAACTGTTGGTGCCTTACCAGAGAACTGAGGAACAGAGGGACAGGTCATTAGAACAGGTTACTGTGTAGAAGTCTTCTGATCATGTAGACAGGTGAAAAAACTGGCGGACAGGGGAGAGAAGGGATTTTAGAGGGGTGTGTGGATTAGGATTTGGGAGAGTGAGAGGAGAGGATGGGGAGGACTTTTGGAAGGCTATGTGGATTGAGATTGGGAGGGAATGGGGGAGTACTTTTGGAGGGGTAGGTGAAGTAGGGGGTGGGGTAGGAAAAGAAGATAACAGGGATAGGGTAAAAAGAGAGGCTTAGAAAGAAAATTGTGAGTAAAAATAAGATGGAAAGCACCGGCCCTCAAGTCAGGAGGATTTGAGTTCAAATATTGCCTCAGACCAAACACTTGACACTTGCTAGCTATGTGACCCTGGGCAAGTCACTTAACCCCATTGCCTCAAAAAAAAATTATAATTCCTATGGATGAATTTCCTCCATCTTTTTTTTTATTTTTTAGGCAATTGGGGTTAAGTGACTTTCCCAGGGCCACAAAGCTAGTGAGTGTCAAGTATCTGAGGCAGGATTTGAACTCTGATCCTCCTGACTCCAAGGCTAGAACTCTATCCACTGTGCCACCTAGCTGCCCAGTAATATTATTTTAAGAATGACTTTGAGCAACTAAGTCATTTTGACTATTATAAATATGCATATTAAAAATAAAGGACATATGAAGAAAGATGCTATCTGTATCCAGAGAAAGAACTAATAAATATAAGCATGTATAGAATAATTTTACATACATACTTATTTGTGTCTACAGGTAGCCATTTCTAGGATGGAGGGAGGAAAAAAAGGGAAAAAAAGGAAATTCACATGATAACTTCCTTGTACATTTGGAGGGAATAGCCAATTGTACATGGCAGATTTGCAGTTTCATGTGCAATCATCTTTTTTGAATTGTGCTGTGTTATAGAAATGTTTGTTTTGTTCCATAAATTGAAAATAATATTTTTTTAAAAAAGGAATTACACACATGACAAAAGGGTGGATTATACACTATTAATTTTGAATAATTGGATATAGCTGTCACTAATTATTATCCATTAACAATTAAACATTGTATGCTAATTATGGATTACTGATTGGAATTAGATTATTTGTTATTAATTATTGTTGGCTTCTATTATTGGTTATCAATAACTGGTTTTTAGTGATTATTTATAACTATGGGTTTTCAGTTTTGGATACTGTTTTTTATTATAATAAACCCTGATTTTAGATTAGAATTAATTTTTGGAAAATCCCCTGAAACATTTTTCCTTAAAGAAAATTATTTCTCCATGCTATGGGCTCAAGCTCCTTGAGGTAAGGGGAACTTGACTGGTATAATTTAAAGCCTTTTAATTAACCCACTTTCTAGTCATATAATGTTAGGGAATAGGTCAAAAGAAATTAAATAACAGACCACTTTTGTACTTTTAGATATGATGAGCTTTCAAATGGCTGTTAACAATTGATGTTGTGTATAGGTTTTCATCTCCAGAAACTAGAACCTCCATTGCAAGTCATCTAGAAGAAAAGAGCAATATCAGGTACCAGCCACTAACATTATTATTGAATAAGGCTTTCAACCTGGGAGCTACAGAACCTCCCTTTAAGATTCTACAGCTTGACAATGAAACAGGAGGACAGAATCAATGTGCTAGCCTACAAGGCAAGATAGGTTCAGTTTGGCTTCCTAGAGATCACTTTGCAATTTACAGAACCATATCCAACAGAAATATATTCCTCTAGCTACAATACTCCACTTCCCCTCCTAAAGTAAATACCTTTTATTAATGAATGCCTCAGGACATATTCAGTTTCACCATTTATCCTTAAATCCACAATGATGGAAATACAGGGATAAAATAATTTCCTTGTGAAATCAACCATTTCCTAATTGCATTCTAACTGTATCCCTGGCTTGTATTCTAAATTATAATAATAAAGGGGATTTTTCTAACTGTGGCAGAGGGGCAAAGAGGGAGGGAGATGGTAGATTGAGGAAACTGTGGACCAAATAGAAGCAACTATTCTGATTTTCATACTGAAAATTGCCATAGGTACATAATTTTACATCAAATTGGAAGAGTTTTGTTAATTTTTATTCTTCCTCTCACAGAACCCACATTTGTAGCATAAGGGATGCCAGGCTTCCATGAAACAAAATCATCAGGCAAACATTGGACTGGAAGATCTCTAAAGTTCCTTGAAGCTCCAACAGTCTTTGGATCCATGACATTTATTCTAATCTATTCTCAATTAATATTGCCATCTCATCATTAATCAGTGGTTGAGTCAAGCTCTTTATGATCTTTTAAGATTACGAATTTCCACTTTTAACTGCCAAATTTATCTTCTTAAGTCAGGGAACATTGACAGCTCTGTTACACAATCACATCTTGACCCTTTTCTGATATTTTAATCAGGGTGTTACAGTTCATCAAATAAGATACTCTTTATTTTTATACTCCTCTACATGTTAAAATAGTCTTCAAATCTTCACAGGCACAAATACATTTAATAGTATCTCTAGTATTCAGGTAGCAATCTGTTCTTGCTAGGTCTATTAAAATACACAATACAATTTTGGCAGGGATCAGAAAGTGATAAGCATGTCTATATACTCTAAGATTTGTTTTATATTAAAACCTATTGATGCTCTATTATTACTATAAATAATATCACATAGGAAATTGATAGTTCATAATTGCCACAAACAAATCAATTTGCTTTACATTCAAAGATATCATCACTTACTTATTCCTACTAGCATGAAAGCCATTCTAGCGTTGTCATATAGCCAGCAAGCTCCTCTAATTCCACATTCGTTAATGTCCCAAAGACTACAAGAATTGTCTATTGCAAAGCCGAATACAATTGGTCCAGGAATTGTACCTATATGTGATATAATTGCACATGAAGAATAGAAATAGTCTTATTAAATTAAATTAAATAGACTTATTAAATTAAAATTAATATTTTCTATTTACATGTGTATATATAACATATTAATTATATACATTTTACACACAGAGCACACCAACCACATTTGTGAAACAACCAACCTTTAAGCAGCCTCCAGGAGGCACTAACACCTCAATAGATGTTACGTGTGTATATAACCTGTAGGGTCCCCTAGGCAATTTCATATACTTACATCTTTCTTATAATGCCTCTAGCAAACTTTTAGTGTTATTTTTCTCACTTTTTTCTTGTGTCAGTGTTACATGTAGATCCCTCTATACTTCAACTGTACTGATTTCAAATAAGGACAGAACAGGGATAAGATGTGTTTTATTGGTATAAGAAATTCTCATGAGGAAACTCCTTCTAGAGGTGGAGTTCAGCACTTGCTCTCCAGCTTAAGAGTTTTACAGATTTGTCTAGAACTCAGAGAGGATAAATGACTTGCTCAGGGTCACATAGCCAATGGGTGCCAGAGGCAGGACTTGAACTCAGTTCTTCTGGGCTTCAAAGACAGCTCTATATCAACTACATCACCCTGTGGCTCACTTAAAAAAAAAAAACCTAGGGGCAGCTAGGTGGTGCAGTAGATAGAGCACCAGCCCTGAAGTCAGGAGGACCTGAGTTCAAATCTGGCGTCAGATCAAAGCACTTGACACTTACTAGCTGTGTGACCCTGGGCAAGTCACTTAACCCCAATTGCCTAAAAATAAAAAAAAAAATTTTTTAACTACCTTTTCCATACCCACAACTAAGACTCTCTTTTGTTCAACCCAGATTTAGTTACCATTGTACAAATGAAAGAATTATCAGAAAGGCAATTAAAATAGTCCATTTGATGCTCTTGGATAGTTAAAATTGTATGCAAATAACTTTAAAATGTCATCTAAGGCCAATTTTTTTCATCATATTCAATTAATCCATAGACAGTTTTCTTGAATTTCCTTTACCTGTATTATATTGGTAGTAGTATATTGGTACACATACATGAACATCTCCCAAAATTGTTGTAGACTTCTTTTAGATTCATTAGTTAGTGGTAAAATTATTCTAATATTCTGACATTTTCTATCCGAAAGATAACTAATTCTTGAATTTTGATATGAAAACTTCATCATCCAAAATAATTTATTTGTACTATGTAGCTTCTTTGGTTAATTTTTGCTTAGTGTTTCAGAAAGTTGTAAACTAATATAACTAACATGCTAGTGACCTTCCAGAGAATTAAAAATATGCATACCTAATAATCGGACCAAAACAAACTGTACACCAAGTGCTAGGGAGCGTTGCTGGTTATTTACACACCTAAAATAATAAGCAATGGTAAATAGTTATAAAAACATTTTAAATAATAATTATATATTATAAACAAAAATCATTCTTTAAATCCAACATTACTTTTACTCATATGAATTATTTTCTTCATTTCAAATTGGATTTTTTTAAAAAGAACAAAACAGTTGTGAATTGATTTCCATTTTTATACATCTGGACAAAAATAGAAGAAATCAGTGCTTACTCTTTGATTCAGATTTTTAATAATTTATACTTACAAAATCAATTTTTAGAAGAGCTTACAGATATATTGCCATATTTTATTTTTGTGGCCCCTATTTCTATCAGGCAACAGCATTGTTGATTTCTTAAAAGCTGTTCAGATCATCAAAAAAAGAAAAATTGCAAACACATTAACCATATTGTTTATTTAGACTCCACCTAAGATAATGTTGACTGTTTACTTTGAGTGTTTTACCTTCCAAATTTTCTCCATTCTGTAAACATTTTCAGATTTCATAACGCTATCAATTATATCATTATTATGTAACATGATTCAAAAGCCTCTGAAATCTAAAAATTATCCCAAAGTCTAAATCAGATATCAAATTTCCAAAAAAAAAAAAGTTAAACTATGTTTACTATCCTCCAACAGAATAGAGTGAATTTTAAAATTTGAGAGTTGGATACTGTGTGATGATGGCAGAAGGAGCATTTGAAGTGGCAATGGGGAGCCAAAGAGCCCTCTGTGTTAAAGTGTACGAGAAGTAATTATCCTTAGAGAGAGTGCCAAGAAATGTATTTAGGAGAAAGATGAATTACAGTAATCACCAGAGCACATAAAAGAGATTTTAGATTCAGAGGGAAAAGGGGATGTTAAAGGTCATCTACTCTACCCTTTCCACCTCCCCTCCTCTTTTTAGAGATGAGAAAAATGAGGCCAAGAATGCCAGTGACCTTCCCAAGTACCTACATAAGTACTAGATGAGAGAACCAAGATTCAAATCCAGGTGTTCTGACTCAGAATCCTGTCATCTTTCTACTGCATCACAGCAGAGTAAGGTCTCACAGGGCACAAAAGAAAGGGTTAACAAAGAGGCAGTGTTATGCACTACATAGAATAGAAGATTCAGAGTCAGAGGGCTATTTTTGAATACAGGATCTGCCTTTCACATCTGAGTCCCTGGGCAAATAATTTCATTTCATCTAACTCTGCTTCAGTTTTTCTGTCAAGTTGGGGGGGGGGAGGGATATGGAACTAGATGACCTTCAAAAATCTCTTCAATCTTGGGATCTATGAGTCTCTGTAAGTTTCTTGAGGGAAAAAATTGTGTTTTAGTCTTTGTGTTCCAGGTGGCTTAAACTGATGATGATTAGTAATTAGTTTACCATAGATAGGGTGGGAGATACACTATAGAGGTGGCAGCAGTAGCCATGGCTAGTCCAGCGGCTTTTGCCTTCACTGCTATCATAACTCCCCTACAAGTACTACCCAATTCAAAAGAGCTGACACAGTATGGATCTTGCATGTTACTCATGGACTTGGCAGGTAAGCTGACCAAGGAGTGTGACAGCAACAGAAGCAAGTGGTGCTGATTGGTGGGAGGGGAGGAGTGTGTGGCACAGCCCTTATGTCATCCCATGCTTTTTCTGGTTCTGGGAGTTGCTGTAGCAGAGGTGCAATGGGGGCAACATTTTTTTTCCTTCCTTCTGATTTTAGGCAATACAAATTCACTTGTTTCCTCATACACATATTTAACATTAAGATGGCTTCAGCTTTCAGGAAAAACTTCATACAGGGTGGCGTAGATGAATTAAAAATACATACCGAAGAATAGCTACAGTAACAGGAGTACCAGCCATAAAGGTAAAAACAATGGTAACAAAGAAAAAGCCAAGGAATAGAGGCAAATTTGTACAGTGGGTTCCACACTTTCCAGCTTTGGCTTCAAAGCTCAAACTTTCTGCAGAAGACATCATTTGTTTTGTCCTTCCAATACAGGAACAGTTGTTGTATGTCTGTGAATATTGTAAACAAAAAAAAAAGCTATGCAAAACTTGAAAAGATGACTGAAAATATATTTTTAAAAATATTTGCAACATTTAAAAAATTATAGACCAGGTAACTTATAAAAATGAAAGATCATCTTATATCAAATCAATCACTCATCATCTAGAAAAGAAAGGACAAGAATATTAAGGTTGCATGAGAAAGGAAAATATAACAATTTTCAGAGAATAAAATGATAAAGTCTGCAGCCTATATAGGCTTATGAGCTTGATTTTTATTCCTTGTGAAAATACTAGAATATACCATTAAACTTATGATAAAGTGGACACCTAACAAAATAAATGGGGTTTACAAGGAAGTATTATAGCTTCTTCAACAATAGGTCATGTTTATTTTCTTTTTTTGACTAAGTAGCTAAACTAGTAGATCAGGAAAATGTGTAGATATAGTTTAGTGGTAGTAGTAGTAGTAGTAGTAGTGATGGTAGTGGTAGTAGTAGGTGGTTAACATTTTAGTAGCTAACATTTTATAGCACTTATTAAGTGATAGACACTGTGCTAAATGCTTTAAAATTACTACCACATTTGATCCTTACAACCACACTAGGAGGTAGGTTGTATTATTATCCCTATTTTACAGATGAAGAAACTAAGGCAAAAGAGGAGCTGCTAAGGCTACATTTGAAACCACATCTTGTTGACTCCAGGCCTGTTGCCCTATCTAACTTTGCCACCTAGATGACCAAACTAAAATTCAGTTTACCTAACTCTTAGTAAAGTATTCGATAAATACAACATACATTGATAAATACATTCATACTAATCTCATGAAAAATATGGGATATGTATAAATTACAAGAAAATCTAAGATGGACTTAGAAATGACCGAATGGATAGATTCAAAGAACAATGAAGTACCCCAAAGAATGCTTCTTGGCCCTTTGCTCTTTAACATTTTTATCAATGATGTAAACACGTAGCATGCTTAGCAGATTTGTAGATAACACAAAACTAAGAGGAATAGCTAATGCACTGGAGAAAAGAGGCAGAGCCCCAAAGATCTGGATGTGCTAGAGAATTGGGCTTAATATAAGAAGAAATTAAGTAGGGAGAAATGTAATGTTTTATAATCACCTATCTTCCTGTAAGCACACCCACCCTTTAAAAAGAATCTAACTTGATCACATAGCATCCCATGCTAGCTATCATAATATAGGCTCCCTTTCTCAGCTAAACTCCATGAGAAAGCCATATACATTAAGCATCTTCACCTTCTTACCCTCTTCCAAACACTCTGCAATTTGGATTTCTACCTTACGATTCAAGTGAAATTGCTCTATCTAAAATTACCAATGATTTCTTAATTGCCAAATCTAATGGCCTTTTCTTGATCCTTATCATTTTTGATCTTTCTACAAAATTTGATACTGTTGATCACATGTGAGCAACACCAATAAGGCTAGAATGATTGGATTATAGCAACATGAAAACTAAAAAAGAGAAATGCTGACAGCCTAGATGAAGACAGTGACTGTGTGGGTGGAGAGAAAAGGACGTACAAGAGATGTCATAAGTGTTTTTTTTTAAAGGCAAGATTTAACAACATGTTGTATAGGCAAGGTAAAATGTGAGCCAAGAGATTAGGATGGCAATGAGATTGCAAAGCTGGGTAACTGGGAAAATGGGACTGGCCTTGACACTAATAGAAAAGTTGGAAAGGGTACAGATCTTGAGTTTTATTTTTGTATTTCATAATAAAGTGAAATATAATTTGACCAATAATTTACTTAATTCAGGTATAAAGTTTCAACCTACTTATCACAACCTCACCAACAGTCTCAATTCTTTTTAAACTTTAAAGATGTCATTAAAGTGAGAAAACATTTCAGGAAACCATAAAGAAGTGCTGATTTTGTGACTTCAAAGAAAAGGGATTTTTATGTTTGTTTTAAGTTAAGCCTGCATTCCCTTAATAAAGACAATTTGTTACTACTAATGTGTTTGCCCAAACACTCACTCAGCTGGCACTAATGTGATAAGATCTAGCCAAGCATCCAAGCAGTTATAATTAGGCTCAAGACTATTGAGAAATACTGTGTAATGATAAAATAAAATAGCACTGAAAAAATTATTTTTTTTACATTTTAAATGGGAAAAGTTGAGAGACACCAAATCAAATCCTTCCTTACAATTCTCATAAAACAGAAGGAGATAGTGGTCACCCTCCGGTTCACTACAACTAGTATAAAATTGGTTTGCTGAGGCTGATTCCATGATAGAAATACTAGAATGGAACTCCAAAAGGAAAAAAAAATGCAAGTTTAAGATTTCATTTAAAAAAAAAACTACCCATTGATAAAAATGGCAATTAGCACATTGTCATTGGCTAAATTAGCAACAATAAAACCTAAAATATTATTAACCCTTCAAGTGTCATGAGTATTGTTTTTTTCTTGAAGGTAGAGGTATATTTCTCTATTTAAATTAACAATGGTGCAAAATGCAAATTTATGCCTTTTTGATTCATTTCCTCTTTTCTGTCTTATCTAATTCTATCTTATTTCATCTCAAACTTGCTTTTCATGCAGAAAGGAAGCCTGATGTAACAGTTAGATAGCTGTCTCGAAGCCAGAAGGACCTGGCCTCTGACACACACTGACTGTGCCATTCTGTGCAAGTCAAGTCAAGGCTCAGTACTTGAGCAATTCCCTAAATTGAAGAGATGGTATGAACATAAATACACAATATTTCTCAGTAGGCATGAGCCTGTAATCACTTGGCAACTTGGTTGGATTTCATCACATTGGTGCCAGTGGTTGTTAAAGGGAGTTTCCTCACCTTTCCCCATACCTGTGAAATCACAGGTTCACTCCAGCTCTGTCTTTATATGAAATGTGCAATATAATCCTTTCAAAACACTCCCTCCATGTATAAAACAACTCTTTCATAATCTATCTTAGAGTTGCCTGGGCCCCTGAGAAGCTGGGACTTGAAAGTATCAGAGACAGAACTGAAACCCACATCTCCTGATTTTGATACTATACTTTCTTGTATACACTATGGCTAGGGTAGGGTTAAGATCAGTCAGAACTATTAAATCCTTACCCATTAGTGATAGGTTGAATTCTTGCTTTCTCCTCTTTTGGAATCTAGTGTTTAGCACCAGTGCCTGGCATATAGTAGGCACTTAATAAATGTTGATTGCTTGATTGAGTTGGGGTGGGAAGTGGAGGAAGGGAGAATAGATATGAGACTTTTTTCTTATCAAGAAAAAAGCAAAAAATACTGGCATGGTTTTGAGGGTGAACTGATAACACACTGGGGATCACCCACCTCTGGGTCTAACTGTAGGACAGTCTGCTAAGATAACTGGCAGAGGTTCAGTGATAACAAATATAGAGTTGCCAGCCCTTGTCCGCTCAGTTGCATAAGGACTTTTAAAAGATAAGGCTGCACAGTTGAGAGAAGATACATGCCAAGCATACATGCAAGGCATACATGCAGTTTGACATTTACCAGTCCTATCCTACCTGTCCTTTCAACTACTTTTGATCCCTTCTCCACAAATTGCATTTCCCTAAATGCTTCCTCCTCCCTCTACCTAACTGACACTCCTTCCTGGTTCTCCTCTTACCTGTCTAACCACTCCTTTCCTTACTTAGTTTTACCTCTTGGCTCTCTACCTCTTATCCTCCTTTTTTAAAGGATATCATCAACTCCCAAATGTTCAAGTACCATCCATTACTCCAGGGCTTGCTGCTGCCATGCTGGCTTGATTACAGAATACAAACTCACCCAACCCACTATACCTACCAAGAATCAGATCAGATCACATCTTTATCAACTTGCCATCTGACCTTTCCCTGTATGCATACTCCCTTTTCTCCATTTATACCTCCTGTTATGAGAACAATAATCAGATCAGCACTATCACTGCTTCTGGAAAGAATATGTTCAGTTGGCAAATAAACAAAATCAAGCAAAAGGCTCACCATTTCTTGCTTTATAATCTCCACAACCTCCCTTTTGAAGTATCTTAATAGGTCTTTGATGATCTATCCTAACGTGATAATTCTAGGCTCCGTGTTACTAGTCTTAATTTCAGATATGTCTATAAATTTCTTAAGCACAGTACAATTTTTAACACAGAAAAAAAATGTTCTTAAACTATCTTAATTGTTCTATCATTTTACGTATTTGTATAAGCCTCCTGCTAAGAGAAAATCTGAAAAGCTCCTGCCCCAACTTTTCCATAAAAGATAATAAAATTGTCCTTGAGATTTAATTGGTCCAAGGGACTAAGACTTGAAAAATTGACAAAGCTTCCTCATTACCTAAATACAGAAGCCTAAATGAGGAGTCAGGGGTTTCTTCAGACTTGAAACATGAACAGGTATACCATTATGGCCACTGTGAAGAAGAGCTGTAGCAGGGGAGGTGCCCTTCTGAATTAATGCTATATCCTTGTGAATGCACTTTACATGCTATTTTGAGTAAACCTATTGCTAAATGTTAGATGGTCTAATTTTATTTCAAGTTTGAACTTGATCAAGCAAACCCACTGGAGTCAATCTGAGCCCAGAGCATTTAGCATTGGTTGGCAGAATGATCGCTTTTGTTGGCCTTGTGGTTGAAGCTGAAGAAGGACAATGAGGATGAAAGAGAATCTTTAGTGATCAGATGCCTTCACATCAGAGCTTTGCACCAGTGGTTGCAGTGTTTCTAGACCCAGGGAATTTTCCAAAATTAAGAGATACGGAAAAATATTCCAAAAGTTGATTTGCTAAGGATAGTGGGGAAGGTATGTGGACAAACCTCTCTATGGTTCATAGAATTTTGGGCAATATGTGACACTTAGAGCTAAAGGACTTAGTGTTTTAAGATGATGAAGTAAACACCAGGTAATTGCTTGGTCCCCTCTAACAACTTGCCCCACTGGAATACAGTGGCATTGTGTAGTTTAAAATAGGGGTTCATTAAGCCAGGTCTATAAACCTAATTTTGTAAAA